AAGAACCACTTCTACTCTCTCAATCCACAAAACACAACACCATATATACTGTTGCTAGTTGGGAGCATTTACCCCATCTCTAGGGTGTCAAAAAAGGTTACCTCTCAGATGGTGCCATAACTAGGTCCACTATTGTTTGGACTTAGTCCAAAATGCTACTTATCAGATGACTTTCAGCAACCTGCAGTGTCTGATTTTTGGCTACATTAGCCCTGTGGTTATAAAGGATGGGAGAGTCTTCTAGGGTAGTCACAGAAGGTCCTAGGAACTAAATTGTGCATCAAAATTCTTTCCTTCCTTCCTTCCTTCCTTCCTTCCTTCCTTCTTTTCTTTTCTTTTCTTTTCTTTTCTTTTCTTTTCTTTTCTTTTCTTTTCTTTTTTTTCTTTTCTTTTCTTTTCTTTTTTTTGAGAAGGGGTCTCAACTCTATCGCCCAGGCTGGAGTGCAGTGCAACCTTGGCTCACTGCAACCTCTACCTCCTGGGTTCGAGCAATTCTCCTGCCTCAGCATCCCAAATAGTTGGGATTATAGGGGTGAACTACCACACCCAGCTATCTTTTGTACTTTTTGGTAGAGATAGGGTTTCGCAGTGTTGGCCAGGCTGATCTCAAACTCCTGTCCTCAAGTAATCTACCTGTCTTAGCCTTCCAAAGTGCTGGGATTATAGGCATGACCACTGTGCCCAGCCCCCACCAAAATTCTTATGTTGAAGCACTAATATCCAATGTGATGGTATTTGGGGATAGGGCCTTTGGACGGGAATTAGGTTTAGATGAGATCATGAGGGTGGGGTCTTCATGATGGGATTGGTGCTCTCACATGAAGATACAGCACAGAGCTTGTTTCCTCTTTCTCTCTTCCCACCATGTGAGGTCACAGTGAGAAAGTGGCCATCTGCAAGCCAGGAACAGAGCCTCAATGGGGAAATAAATTATCTGTGTCTTAATCTCAGAGTTCCCAGCCACCAGAACTGAAATACACTGCTGTCGTGTAAGCTGCCTTGTCTATATTTTGTTATGGCAGCCCAAGCTGCCTTCATAAGTCCCTACTCTGACTTGTGAACCACCAGTATTTTAGAGCTCCATGGGCTATCTGCTTAGACCCACTGTCTAGTAATCTACCTCAGAATTTAGTTCTCTCTTTTCCCCACTGTACACTCTCCCTTCTAAGTGCCTGCCATTCTGTCTGAAGGGATAAAAGGAAAATTTACTGTATCCACCTGTGGTATGATTGTATACATCTTCCCCTTCATCCAGGGGCTCTGGTTCTATAACTGGCCTATTATTACCTGGGTGAGCAAACTGGATAAGAGGCCATGATTATCCACTGTGATGGCAAAAGTCTCTGCTCACCAGACCAGAGTTTGACTACAGTGATCAAGTAAAACTTTAGTAGACTCCCCATTTATATCAGCTCTAGAGATCTCATGCTTAGTTAGCCACTACAGCAATCCCTAGCAGGTCAAACCTTTTTGATTACTATTGTGACCTTGTGGACCAATACAGCAACCAAGCCCACATTGACTCCAGTTACTCAGTGTTATTAAAGACCCCATTTTAAGGACGTTAACTCCTGGTCAACATTTCTGACTCCTCACACCTCTGAACTTTTTCTTGATTATATTAGGAAAGTTCTGGCATTTCAAAATAATTTAATGTAGAGTCCTTTGTTGAACCTTGTTTTCAGTTAATCAAACTGGTGAACACTAGTTTGATTAGTATAACATACTAACATACTGAATCCAGAATCTTTTACAGGAAACATCCTATCAATAAATTCATGATCAGTCCAACATTGAATTCCTCGCTTCCTGGTCTAGAATGCTCAGTTCCTAATCTCACACATATTCCCCAAGTTTTATTAAATGTAAATTAATGGAATCTTACAAATCTTCCAGTGTGTTACTTGTATCTTTCCAGGTGGGATTTTCTACTTATCTATCTCTTTGGAACAGGATGAAATTTGACCACTTTTAGGCCTAAAGATAAAGATGAATTAAGTAGGAATAGGACATGATTATATTTGCCACTTCCTACCTGGCATGAAATAGTCATAGAGTCTCTAAGCAAGATAGGACTTGCTTTATCAGATGAGGAGGGAGAACTCTTTGTGTAGGAAGGGGAGCTCAGTGGGACTTGTAGTTTCTAGGCATTTAAATTTATTTGAATCTACCTAAACATTCTCATTGAAATTCTCACTATTTTATCTGTTCCTACAAATGCTTAATCTTCACTTAAGAGATCTGATGGGGCTATGAATTCAATTTACATTAGAATTATTCTGCAACCTGCCATATCTGATTTTTGGCTACATTAGCATTGTGACTATAAGGGATGGGAGAGTCTTCTAGGGCAGTCACAGAAGGTGCCTGGTGCTTTTGATTGTGACCTGAGATAAAAATAGAAAACTATGAGATTGTCATTTTCTTTCCTTGAGCAATTCAGTATAGCTTACAGGTGGATATAGCATAGCTTATATAAACTATTCCCTTAATAATGATTTTTAGCTTCTCCAATAAATTCTTAACTGAGGCCAGATTTAAATGACACCAAAGTCTATAATGGTACTAGTACATGGTGTCTGTCTAGTATGACAAGCAATTCTGTAGAACCTTGATATGCTAAGGCAGTCAGAAGTTCATCCAGGGTGCCCAGTTCCTACTGCATTTGGCCCATCACAGCCTATTAAGAGCTGAGACGGTGATGATTCATTTTAGGTGTCAACTTCACTAGATTAAAGAATACCTGAGAGAAATGTTAAAGCATTATTTCTGGGTGTGTATGTGAGGGTGTTCCAGAGGAGACTGGTATGTGAGTTGTTGGACTGAGTGGGGAAGATCCACCCTTAGTGTATGTGGGCACCATCCAACAGGCTGGGGGTCTGGATAGAACAAAAAAGGAAAAGACAAATTCACCCTCCCTCTTTCTGGAGGTGGGATATTCTTCTCCTGACTTTGGACATCAGAACTCCTGACTCTCCAGCCCTTGGACTCCAAGACCTGCACTTGTGTTCCCCCAGGTTCTCAAGCCTTTGGCTTGGACTAACAATTACATCATCAGCTTCTCTGGCTGTGAGGTTTTCAAACTTGGACTGGGCCACACCGCCAGCATCCCAGGATCTCAAGTTTGTAGTCAGCCTATCGTGAAACTTCTCAGACTCCATGATCACATGAGCCAATCCTCCTAATAAATCCCCTTTCATATCTTTATAGATGTATATCTAATCTCTGTGTTCTATTGGATTCTGTCCCTCTGGAGAACCCCGAGTAATTCAGAGGCCAAACCGATTTGCTGGAGTGCTGAGGGCTGGGGAGATGCCTAAGCCTCAGGAGCTCGGAGGACAAGAAAAGCCTTGTCTCATTGGTCTACATGTCTACGTGTCTTCCAGCCTTGCAGGGAATCCCCTCAAGGAGGGGCCAGCTCATTTACATAATGCAAACTGGCAGAGTTTAATATGACATCTCCACAGATGTAGTCTTCCTTTAAATTAAAGGCACCAATATATGTTTCTGGTCAAGAAGCTCACTGCATTTCAGCATAAAGAAGTTTGGTCGTTATATTCAATTTAAACATCTTGAAATTGAGATTTCTAAGTGATGTGTATTTTTTTTACATTTCGTATTTTTCACAATGTACTGAGCCCATTTGCTTTCACTTTCTCAAGTGTCTAAAAGTGCAATATGTTTTAATAAAAATCACAAATTTGCCAGTGTCCTATGTCAGGCTCCTTTAAATCTGCTATAATCATTCCTTTGGGCTAAAAATTCTTCTCTGCTCATGTACTTCTAACCTACAATCACTCTGAAGACCAATATACAATTTAAAGGCCTTGAGGTTCTAAATCAGAATATGCAGTTTATTGTGTGGCTCCAGCTCAGTGCAAATTTTTCCACTATTTTACCCAGAAAACAGATGCCCTTAGTAGCCTCATCAAGAAGCCCGGTTATTACTGTGACTCTCGGTGTTGGAACAAACCGCATCCAAAGTTTCCTCTGACTTCTAGAAGAAGAGTTTAAAGTAGCTGCCTCTGAAACTGTTTTAAAATTGTGGCTTGTATAAGCATTCGGTGAACAAAGCGCTCTTTCTCCAAAAAGGTAGGTGCCAGCCATTTGCTGTCCTCCAGCTGTTCCCTGAGCATCACCAGGAACATGAAAATGTTCTCATCCATGGCTTAGTAAGTCTCTTAAAGCAAACCTCTCCTCTGAAGAACAGGGCAGATAGAACCAACTAATCACTGTAGCAGGAGACTCAGAAGCCAAGGGATTAGTAAGGAAGGAAGGCAGAATCCCTATTTGTTATGAAAAGAAAATTCAGTAAAAGCAGAGATATTCTGGGCTCTGACCCACCTCTTTCCTCTGCTAATATTAACAAGGCAGTCACTCTCTTTAAGCCCCAGCTTTTTCACCAGTAAAATGATGGATCAAATCTTGCCCCCTGCCTTAGTAGTCCAGTAAGAGGATAAATCCATGTTGGTAGAGCAATTTGACGTAAGCTCAAAATATAATCAGATTATCTAGAAGCCTACATAATGCTTAGTTATAAGCTACATTCATAAATCTCTCAAAATCTCCAAGGGAAGGGCACAGTTTGCATATTTAGAGTCGATCCAATGAATAAAAGGGGCAGCAGGGACATTGGTATCTAAGACAGAAGGGGCTCCATTTAGAACTCATGACTAAAGCATTTCGCTCAACTTCTGATTCCATTTCCTTATCAATAAACTGAGGACCGCAACCCCCACCCTGTCTACCTTCCAGGGTTATTGTAAGGACCCAAATCAGAATGTAATAAGGAAGGTGAAAGCACATGATTAACAAAGAAAAGAGAAATATATACTTTAAAAGCCATAGATACAAAGAAAACATCATTATAATCTAGTTTATAATCTACAAACCAGAACTTTGGTCTTGGAGTTAAAAGTATTAATAGTTGGGGCTACTTCAGCTCTAAGACAGAGTGTCTAGCAGAAAGGGTGGAGTGGAAGCCGACGGGAGCCGTGTACCTGATGGTGGTGCCTTGCAGACGGTCTATCTTCTTGTTGAGCTCTGCAATGACGCTGTGGAGCTCTGTGATGCGCTCCTCATAGCGAAGTGTCGTTCGCTCCTGGACATCCTCATGCTCTCTCATGAGGTGGGACTGCTCGCACTGAGAATAAGGGAAAAGGACAGAAGTGCTGATGAATTCATGCACCTATAGGTGGGTGATTCCAAGCTTTGTGGCCTCAAACCATGCCAAAGCTGAGTATGCTCCAACTAAAATGTATGTCAGCCCATCAGCTGACAATCCCAGGAAACAAATTCATGGCTGGATTTTATAATTCCCCTGGTGGATACTAGAGTGCCTTTCTAGCACTCTTTCTCTCTTTGGCAAACAGTCCCTCTGCCATTACACACTGTCCAAGTACCCCACTTTCCTCTAGCCAAGAAACAGGCAAGTGGTCCAAGCTAGATCCAGCAGATAAGTCCTAAAGAGAATTTCAATCTTGAGCAAATGTGTACAAGGTTGCATGGAGTTGATTCACAGAGCCTTGAAGAGCCTCTTAGTTCCTGCTACCTACAGCTTCCTTCCCAAATTCCTTTATGGTTGTTCAGTTTCCTTTTTTGCCAATTCACTCCTTCTTTGCTGAAGTTTGTCAGGGACTGTTTCAGCCATTTTTTCAACCAAATAATCCTAAATGGTATGATCCACCTTCTTATCTGCAAATTTAATGCTTTCCAATATCATTGTCTCCCAGACTGTAAGCTCCTGGAGGGCAGGAAGTAGGTGTTTTCATTATTTGGCCTAGCACTGGTAAATGGCTTGGTTCACCATGGGTGATCTAGGAGTGTCACAGAATGAACAGATGAGGATGAACTGCCACCATGAAAATTGCTTAGCAGAAATACTGATATAAGAGGCAGAGGAGCTTCCTTGCTCAGAGTTTCACGGACTAAGAGGCAGCAGAGTTACAGAAACATTTCTGTAGCCATTTTAAATCCTGAGGAACCTGTTCACCTCTTTTACTTCTCTCTACCCCTCTCAATCCCGACCAATCACTGTGCCTAATAACTCATTTATATAATATTAAAATACTCCTCAGTGATGGAACAAGTAGTCTAGCTTGTGTCCTTGTCTACTACCTTCAGCTGTGATTAATTTCCTGTCAGCAGAGGAACTTCAATTTCATCTTCAACAAGGTTTTCTTAGTGCCAAAAGCCATATGTGCTTTCCGGCTCTGCAGGTTTGCACCTCCAGGCCCGGTGGCAGGCAGGGAAAGAGAAGGACTTCTCACCCACTACCTCCCCCGCCCTCCCTAAACTGGCTAAGTTTCCAAAGGCATAACCCAGAGCAGGGAGAAAAGGCTTTCAATGATAAAGAGATTATGCTAAGCCTAACTCAAGACTGAAATAGAAGTACTCAACAAAGAAGTCTGACAAATAAATTGCTATCAGTCACGGTAGGGCCGCACCTCAGCAACAGCTGGATCAGTAGTTACGTAAATTCTTGGGGGTTACCTCAGAGCTCCAGAAACAAGACTGGAGGCAACAAGGTTGTTGATTGCTTTATCACAGCCCTAGAGGGATAGTTACTGTCAGGAAAATACTCCTGTGAACTACTGTTCTTAGTGACAACCTGAAACATCAAATAACCTCCACTCAAGGTCAAGCCCACAAAACATAAGTGGGAACAGAGGCAAGGATCAAGGTCGAGTGAAAGGCACATCTAGTGGAGGCTTTCCTAAACAGATAACCAGCCAGACAGTCTTTCCATGAAGCTAGACCTTTCTCATCCATGATCCTACATACTTAAAGAACAAGAGAAGTCCACAAAATGACAGGATCTCAAAGGCAATTTCTATCAATAAATGAAAGAGCTTCATATTTCTCTGGAACACACTAAGAACAGAACACTGTTCCTCTCAGACCTGCAGCACATCTACAAGCTCCTGCTATTAGCCTCTCTCGATTCCCAACCTCAGAGCGCGCGCGTGTGTGTGTGCACGCACACGCGTGTTGTGTGAACATGTATAGACACTCTCATGCAGGTCACCAGTTCCAGACCTCAGTGGCCCTTTGGATAAAATTCTGTCTCTGGGGCTAGCTTGGTGACCCACGCCCGTAATCCCAGCACTTTGGGAGGCCATGGTTGGTTGATCACCTGAGGTTGGGAGTTCAAGACCAGCCTGACCAACATGGAGAAACCCAGTCTCTACTAAAAATGCAAAATTAGCTGGGTGTGGTGGGGCATGCCTGTAATCCCAGCTACTCAGGAGGCTGAAGCAGGAGAATCGCTTGAACCTGGGAGGCAGAAGTTGCAGTGAACTGAGATCGTGCCACTGCACTCCAGCCTGGGCAACAAGAGTGAAACTCTATCTCAAAATTAAAAAAAAAAAAATTCTGTCTCTGACCTGGATCTCGTCCATGCTGTGACTCCTAAGGTGCCAAGTTGCTAGTTCCTCCTCTTTGGTTTTCCACATTCAGTTCTCTAGGGCCACAAATTACTGCGAAACATATCCACTTACACACTCAATGAGCTCTCACTTTCCCTTACTTCCCCACTCATTATTTCTTCTTTTAAGCCAACAGGTCACTACCACCACCTGGGCTGACAAGAAACTGCAAAGTCCAATTAACAATGAAGATGTTCAAAGGTTTATATAGAGAAAGGCACACCATCAGTTGACAAAGGCACACCATCAGTTGACAACCACCAAAAGATCATGCTTCGGCATCCCTACTGACTGATGTGAACTGCCTAAAAGATGTGACCCTGGCCAACCAGCAGCTTTTGCTGATGTGCTGCCTATGGAGTAGCCATTCTTTTGTTTCTTTAATAAACTTGCTTTCACTTAAAAAAGACCCTGTGGGGCTGCCCAGGATACCAGATGGAGAGGGAGAGTGTGCTATCCGCTATTGCACCATCTTTCCCCTGGCCTCTAACTGGGAAGCCTGCCTGGAGGATACCTGTATGAACAAGAGGCAACACGAAACCTGGTGATTCAGTCAGATGGAATAGGGCTTGCAGCTAGATGGACAAAAAAAGACTCGATGTATATTCGGAGCTCAAGCATTAATTTGGGAGAGGTAACAGGAATATATTGGAGGGGAAAAAAATTTTTAGCTAAGGGCAAAGGTATTTAATTTACATTCCTGTATTTTTCCATAAGTATGTTTTTAAAAGATAGCATACGATGTAATATTATAATGTAATACTTCTGTACATATCAGAACTTTCTTGATTTATTATTATGTAAATGAGACTGTGCTGGGTGCTATGGGGGAGGTAATTACAACACATTTTGAAGGTAACTGTCGTCACAGCTTCCAGTGGACTGAAAGAATCCCAGACTTCTTTTCTGGTGAACATGAAACAGGGATAGAAGTGGGAGGGTGGGGAGAAGAAGAAATACCAGGATGGTGTCCTGAGGATTCTTTCCCCATCGAAAAGAGAATACTGGAAAATAATTATCGAACAGACTTCTAGCCAGTGAATGTATCAATGGCTGAGAAGCCACTGCTCAAAGTTCATCTGCACAAATCAACTACTCTTATTAAACATACTTCACTCATTTGTGCACACTCATAGCACCCAGCCACAGAGGCTGAAACACTGATCCCAAAGCTTAGTGAAAATTCGCAGAGTATTTCCAAGCTATAGTGCAGGGAAACACAGAGCAACTCCCACAGGACAAGGGCGTAGGAGGAAACAAGCCATCACTTGCAAAAGCCAAAAGAACCAACACAACACCCTTGTTTAACAGCATCCATCCAACTGTTCACAAGACAACCCCGGGAATGTGGCACTTGACTGCAGGAAAAGTGGAAGATGAGCAGGTGGCACCCAGGGCAGACGAAGCCATTCTGTGCACCATTGCGAGCTTTCCTGCCTTGGTGACCTCCCACATAGGCGGGAACGGCCTATTAGTGAGGCCAACTTCTGTCACCACACTCTAGTTTATTACTGACCTGTTGCCTCTCATCACCTTGAGTTTTCATGACCTGGGAGAACACTGCTTTTTTTTCTTTTTGAGACGGAGTCTTGCTCTGTCGCCCAGGCTGGAGTGCAGTGGGATGATCTCAGCTCACTGCAACCTCCACCTCCTGGGTTCAAGTGATTCTCATGCCTCAGCCTCCCAAGTAGCTGGGATTACCGGGATGTACCATCACACCCAGCTAATTTTTCTATTTTAATAGAGATCTGGTTTCACCAACTGCATCAGCCTCCCAAAGTGCTGAGATTATAGGCGTGAGCCACTGCACCCAGCCCTGGAAGAGCACTTTTTAACTCGTGATGGTGCGTGATTTCACGTGTTTTGTTTAATAAGGACACAGGGTAGGCCAGGCTCAACACTGCACCTTCACTTAAGAGTTACCTAGGAGCACGAGTTCCTTTAAGGCCTCATCTGGGAAGGTAACACAACGACGACAACCAAAGAGGGAAAAGAGGTTTACTTCTACAATTATTACTTAATATTTGCATATGTTTTCCAGTTTTTAAGTTAAAAATTTAAGAATGGTACAGGCTTTCAAAAAATTGATACAAGACCCACACATTTTTTTTCTTAATTCCCCTAACACATTGTTTTCTGAATACCGTTCATTTCTCCCCATTAATTTCTTATATACATAATGCTCCATCCACCAGGACCACCATGTGGTATAAGTACCCTTGCGGCATCCAGCCTCTGATTTGCCTCCATCCATGCACATGGCAGGATTATGCTCCTCCTGTTTGAAGCTAAATACAGCCATGCCACTTACTTTGGCCAATAAGATATGAATGAATATACACCATTTTGCCTAGAAGCCTTTAAGAGCTCCTGCCAGACTTACCACATTCCCTTCCCCAGGCCAGGGCCACTAACAAGATTCCAGATGGTAGAGGCCCTCAGTTTTGGAGCCTGGGTAGGGACAATACAGCAGAGAGTCCCCTGCCAGGCCCAGTGAGCCCTCAATAACAAGAAATAAATCTTTGGTATCTTAGGCCACTGAAAATTTGAAACTCTTTGTTTTCACAGCATAGCTTGAGGACACCATCATTTTGTAGATGAGAAAACAGACTAAATGTGGAGCAACTGATTTATTTACTGTAACGCAGGTAACAAATATCCCTCTGATTTCTGTTTATGCCATCAAGGGATAGAAGCTGTTGTAGCCACAATCTTCTCCCCTCTTCCTCCCCCAGCTCCCTGACCTGTGGGCTTATATCCTCTTTATCATTTACCCAAGGATCTTAGGTGGTACCTTGTCCTCAGACCCTGAAACTTTTCTGTGAACTCCAGGAAGCATGAATGTTAGGCCTTACAATACCAAAGAGAGCTGGGAAAGGCCAAAGAGCTCTCTCTTCAACCCCCTGGGAGGATGAAAACAGAAAAGGAGACACAAGGGGGCGTAAAACAGGGAATTCAAAGTCTCTCCAGCTTCCAACAAGCCAGCTTTAGCTTCCAAAGTCAATTATTCAGTGATAATTTACTTAGCATCCTCTGGGACCAAAGGCAGTTTCTTCTACTACAATTTATAAGTTAGAGATTATTTTCTTCTCTCTACTGGACAGAAACACCCCACACAATTTCAACTGAATAAAATAAAAAAGGGTCTCAAATAACATGCTACTATTTTTTTTCTGCCATTACAGGTAATTGCATCCAGGGTTCTCCCTCCTCCTAGCCCATATTCAATTTTTGACTGAAAGTACAGTGCCACAAAGCCAGAGAGCCTGCGGTTGCAATGTCTTGCCTGCCATTAATTTCTGGAGGTCAATATCATTAGGAGTCTATATTTGTCACACAACTACAGATTTTCAGTTTGAAAGGAAAAGAAAAAAATGATTGAGATGGGATATGATGAAATTTTGTTTCTCCCAAGTTTCATCTGGCACTTAATACATACCCTGAGTTTCTTCTTGAGATCTTAGCTTTCCTGTCATGATGATGAAGCAAATTAAAAATTCATATAAATACTTGTGTCTAGTCACATAAATCAGTGAAATTGCCTATATGCAAAAATGTGCAATAAAAACAAACAACATCATCATTTCAACCACTGAGAACAAAATCCTTTAGGCTCATCCCTGCTGTGGTGCAATCCAGGGATAAAGCCCTGAGTCAGCCTTGAGACAGTCTGGCCTGAGAACTTGAGCCCCTGTTGGAAAAACCCCGTGCAGTGTGGTGACGCTAAGCAGCTTTATGGTTTTGTTAATGTTCTTCACCGGGTTTTATCTTACTCCACCGAGGCCACTGATCTTTAATCATCACATTACTGTCAGCTGTCAAATCTAAGAGCATTACGAACTAGGTTCTTGGAAAATGCAAGGCCATCATTAATTTGTTAACCCTCTCAACCATCCCGTGAAGCAGGTTAGTACCACTCCCTTTTAAAATATGCTAACAAGTGTTGTTACCCTCTCAGGGTCACACAGGATTTGTCACAACTAACACTATTTGGGGTGTTCCCACCCTCACCCTTAAGCTCTTGCCCAGATTCCCTTGCTAAGGGGAAAGTGGGCTGGCTAAACAAAGAGGCACCAGGACAAGTGGAAATGCCATTAAGGAGCAAAGCAGCTGGAGTAGTTTACCAAAGAGAAGTATAAACCAATAGGAAAGGAATGGAATGGGGTGACCCTAACAAAGACAATGCATGCCAACTACATCTCAGAAAACAAGGGAAGAAGAAAACACTCTCTCCTTTCCACTTAAGGAAAACTGTGTGTGTTCTCTTCCCGAAAGCCAAGAGGTAGAAAATTCAGGAGACTTGCTTTCCAAAGATAAACAGCTTAGAAATAGAAAGTGTTCCACATTGCTGCTCACCGATTTTAAATGGGTTCAGAAACTTATTTGATATAGTCACTTCTGAAGCACTTAAAAATGCAGTAATTGAAAATCACTGTTGGTACTAAATAAATAGCAAATATGCTAAAAGCATCAAATCAGGACTGTATATGATCTTAGCCAGTTTCCCACAGGCTCAGTCCCCGCCGGGCTGTAGAATGTTGGTGCATGTCTGTGCCCTATTCCATTTGGGAAGATAGGAGTGTGCTGTTTTCAGCCAGTCAGTTCATGGCAATTTATTACACAGCAATAGAAAATTAATATAGAAGCAGTATGTCGTCTCCATCATATTGATATTGGGCTCTTCCCTTCATACTGCTATTCTCAAAACTCTACCTACTAGCTGACATCGTGAGCATATAAAAGAAGCCTTCTTTTATTCAACCAGTTCTAGTGTCACCACTAATGATTATTCAACAGATGTTGCAGCTCTCTTGGTAATGCCTGTTGAACATAACCACCATTTACATTTTACATTTTAATCATAGCACTACAATATTTAGAGAGCTGGTAAAACTTACCAGAGCCACAAAGCATAAATTTACACATGAATTTGCTCTTCCACAATCTGGTAAAGCCTGAAACATGAATCTTTTACCACAGCATATAACACAGAAGATGTGGCACAGTCACTTTATTGTTCTTATTTTTTTCTTGCATAAATTTCATCTTTTAAAAGATATGAGATGGGAAGTCTGACATTTTTTTCATGTTCTCTTTCCTAGGTTCCAGTATATGAACTGGGAAGAAATTTCCAGTGAAAAGAGCAGAGAGTAATTTTTAAATCTATTTCACTAAGAACGCAAATAAGAGAGTCAATAAATGGTTCTATGATGTGACCACCATCATCAGGGGTAAAATCAGTCATCAAAAGCTATTTCAGGAGGACAGCTTGACTGTAAGTGAAAAAAAGAGCTGAATCAATCCTTGACTTAGCAGAGAAAAAAATTTCTATTATCCTCTTACCTCCTCTGTATAAGCTGTCTTTGTAGGCTTAAATTTTAATAAATACCTTCCTGGTTCCTTTTTAAAATCCAAGACTATTGTACATGCCAGCTTCTGATTAAACACATTCACAATTTTTTTAAAACAAATTCTCATCAATAAGAATTGCTAATGATGGTTGACTTTGGGTGGGTGTAAATTAGAAAACATAGTCACCACCATTTAGTTGCTGTTTTAAAATACAAAAATAACAATTTTCTCTTAAAAAACACTGTAAAACAAAAAAAAAAGCACTAAAAAAGTTTCAGTTCAGAGATTACCACTGAAATATTCTAATGCTTTCTGGTTTTTTTCTATCACTATTTTATTACTTTTATGATCAGAAGGAAAATATTTTAAGTAACATTTTCATCTAAGTAAAAACTGAAAATTTTTGTCATGTATGACACCCTATGGTAAGAAAAGGCACTGGTGGCCTTGCTGAGCTACTCATTTATCTTTCGGTAATCAAGATAATCTTCCTCAGATGCCCATTGAACATGAAAGTGGATGATCTTAAGTACAGAGAATCTTTTCCCTCTGCTCAAATAATCTTTGATTATGAGACATGAAAGTTTTCAAAAAATTTCCATAGGTCATTATGAAAGCCTATAGAAGCCTGGTTTTTAAATTTCTCTGAATTCCCACATAAAAATAAAGAAAGCACCTACAAAGTAGAGCCCAAAGCCTGGAGCAATGTATGCCCGAGAACTAGAAAATACAAGCAGGTAAGAAGAAGCCAACATCATCCATAAGATCTGAGTGGCACCACCATGGCGAGAATCAGAAGGAAACAAGGTTGATGTATCTGAGAACTTGAAAAACTCCTAAAAAACCAAAAAGTATTCACAGGAACATAAGAATGCCCAATTGGGGAATAGTAGCTAAAACTAGGAGGAATTTTGCCTGATCAAAGAGTAAGTGCAGGGGGCCCACAGTAAGATCTGAGGAGGCTACAGCAGGCTAGTCACTGTGAACTTTGGAGACTGCCCTCAGGGCTGCCTTCCAGGAAGAGAAACTGCTGGGAGTGGAAATAAAATTGAACAGGATGGGAATTACAGTGACAAAGGAAAGAAAAAAATCCAGATAAAAGCAGGTAAAAGGAATAGAGCCAGAGTGTGACAGAAAGTAGGCTGCCATTTTTGACAACAAGAAAACAACAGAAGGCTAGGTTCACATCACTTTAGAAAGCCACTTTAAACTCTGCCCCCTGAAAGTTCAAGGAAATTATTTTTCACATGAAAATGAAAAACAGAAAAATACTGATGTCAAATCCCATACTAAGTTATACAAAATAAGGTCAGAACATCCTTATAAACCATGAAAGCATGCCACAGCACAGACCAAAAACAAAATCCCCCACACAAAAACACTCCAAATAATAGCCTACTATTTCAAAATAAACTAAAAGACATGAGACAGAAAGGAACATAATTAGGAATCAGAAAAATTCAGAAGTGAGAAAAGAATCTGAAATAGATTGAAAATGTTTTTCAGAAATGACTATACTAGAAGGAAAAAAAAGGTTAAAAACAACATAAAACATCCCGAGAAATAGAAAAGAGATATAATTTTTAAAAGATAGAAAACATTTAAAATAGTAACAGATAAAGACGATCTAACATACAAATATTAGAAGTCCTTGAAAAATCAAAGCAAGGGAAGAAAATTAATATTAACAAGGTAATTCAAAGGCTATGCACGATGGCTTATGCCTGAAATCCCAGAACTTTAGAAGGCCAAGGCAAGAGGATCGCTTGAACTCAGCACTTCAAGACCAGACTGGACAATATGGCAAAACCCCAAATCTACAGAAAATACAAAAAATCAGCTGATAGTCCCAGCTACTTGGGAGGCTGTGGTGTGAGGATTGCTTGAGCCCGGGAGGTTGAGGCTGCAGTGAGCCATGATCATGCCACTGCACTCCAGCTTGGGTGACAGAGCAAGACCCTGTCTCAAAAAAAAAAAGGTAGCCATCTGGAAGGGATCCCTCGATAGGCACCCTGGACTTTGTAGCTTCTGGAACCGTGACAAATAAATGTTGTTTAAGGCACAAATCTATGGTATTTGTTACAGCAGCCAGAGCAGACTAAGACACAGTATTTGCTGCTAAAGCTGTAATTTGTTTTGTGGGAATTTCTATACCCACGTTTTATCTTAAAATTAAGGTTTTTTGTTCGTTTGTTTTTGTTTTTTAAAGAAAAAAAGAAATCTTTCTAGATTCCTTACCTGTGCCTTGGCCAATTTCTTTTCCAGAAGGTCCCGTTCCCTCTCTGTTTGCTGGAGACGTTTATTAAGCTCCACTATATCTCCCTTTAGTGATGCCAGGGCTGCCGAATGGAGCTGTGGTGACAGAAAGGAAGAGATTAGAGTACTGAAGCAGAGATGCGTTTCCTTCCCTTCATTCCCACAAGTAGCATAACCGCATTAAAAACCTATCATCCCAAAAGCAACCCTTTTGAGAATGAAGGTAAGTGTTATGAATCTTGAGGACAAAAGACATAAATCAGGTGTGTTACCAGCGAGCCGGGTTATATGGTGACCCTAAATATTATGTGTGGGCTGTGGGGCCTAAGTTTGCATGGCATCATCAGGCCAGAAAACAAAACTTCTTTCCAATGGCTCTCCCCAAGTTACTCTGTGAGGAAGAGCCTGACAGCTGAAGTGGAGCTGCCTGACTGTAATCATGAGAGGAAAGAAAAAGCAGAACCATATAAATGTTCACCTTTGGAAAACACAAAAGCTGAATTGGTTTATTGGAATTCAGTCATCTAAATTGCATGTATCACAGGCACACAGGGACTGAGCATTAAAAATACAAGTGGCAGAGCTGATTTTTAAATGGTCTTGTACAGTTGGCCGATTTATTTTCTTGTTGGTCCTTGCTTCCTCTTTGCCTCCCCGCTTTCCCCGAGAAGCTGTACTGGCCAGACAGATGCTTATGTGCTAGCAGGCCCTCTTTCAGGAGCAGCACCAGAACTCTGACAAATGATGCTGTGAAAAGACAGACTAACAATCAACTGAGATCTCTTGCCCCAGCCACTTCTCTGGGTTAACAGGAGTTTGAAAGAATGCTCTTCAACAGATTAACAAGAGGCCCACATACATCCAGAACCTCAATCTGCTCAAGTTCTAAAGGCTGGGCTTTGGCTACACACATACCCACCACACATGTCCCTTCTTTGACTTTTCAGGCCGATGGATGGAACTATTTTTAAGATCTGTTCAACACACTGGTCCCAGCAACACCTGAAACTTCCTTCGAAACCTTGAAAGCTTCCGTTCTAGGTGGAGCTCTGACCATCCCCTGGCTGAATTCCAAACTTCATTTGGGTGAACAACTGGAATCAGAACAAACCATCCCCTTTCTAGGCTTTCTGTAGCCTCTGCCAAGAAGGATTTAAAGTAAGAAGTATATATATTTGATCTTTAAAGATGGACACAGGATGATGGTACATAACTCAACTTTGGAGATTTGAGGCTTAGAAAAATGAGGTTTTCTGCAACCCGCCCTCCACCACAGCATGTTGGCTGACAGGCTTTGGGGCGAGGGTGGGGACGGGTAGTGAGTGAGGGAGAAGCAGATACAGGGGAGGGTGTGGGGTTTCAAAGCGGTTGTTTTTGTTAGACTCTAACAGAAGTAAATGTGACTTCACTTAATTGCATTGGAGCAGCAAACCAACAGATCAATAGCTGATTTGAAATCAGGAATGCTTAAAATTAAAAAAAGAAAATGTCAAACAAACTCGCAGTGTTTGTCTTCTGATGTAGGGCTAAGGCCGCTTGGAAAAGGTCACTGTAGGTTTCAGATACAACATTTTGTGTGACGACTTCTCAGCACAAATACCACAGTGTTCCCATTGTATAATCTTTTGGAGATTGTTTTGTTGGGTGCAGAGGGAACAAATCCACTCCCTTTGACAGCTGGTTGCCGCCTCAGCCTGTGAACTATCAGTCTGAGGATTTTCCTTCAGCATCCGACACTGTGGCACTTTACACTATTATACAAAGTCTTGAGAGAGGATTTGCCACCACCTCTGGTGAGAAGGATAAAATACTTGAAAGCTGACATGTTCTAAGAAATTGAGTAATGGGAATAAGGATCCCAGTTCTGTGAGCCTAGTCTTGCTTCCCTTCCTCATTATATCTCCTCTTCTACTTCCGGCAGGCGGGGGGAGGGGGGGGCGGAAAGGCTGCTAAAAGGGATTCAGGGAGGCCCACAGGGAAAAGCTGAGAGAATGCTGCATACTCCCCCACAGACTCCATGAACTGAGCCAGATGGAGACAGAGAGTACTTACTTCCATCACAGACTTGGAAGAGGGCTCCAGGATGGGTCACTGCTCTTGAGGAGAGCAGTGGGCTTGGAGTGATAATACCTTCTAGCCTACCAGCTCTCCAAACTTCCAGGAAGAACGGTCAGATGCCCACTGGGGGCAAGTCCCTTCACTTCTTTGGATGGAAGGTGCCTATCTATGAGGTAAGAACAGATTCCTTGAGAATCTCATGAATGCAATGGACCCTTTTCCCAGGGCAGAGATGAGTTTGGGATGCACACATATTTTCCACCCAGTTATGGTGATGACCCACTCTAGAATCAATAAGAAATATCTGGACTCGATGTCAGCTCTGTGACCCCACATACGTTTTCACAGTTTCATGTGTCATCATCATAGATGTCTGAGCGGGGAAAAGAACTTTGGTACCAATGTCCCCCACTCCATAACTGCAGGTGAGGATCTGAAGTCCGCAGACTGACTTGCTTACTCAGGTCTCACGGTCAGCTGAGCACCAGGCCAAGCCACAGCACTCTTTTCTGGCTCTATGATGTTGGACATAACAGAAGTTTTCAGTTTTTTACTTGGCTGAGATTTTTACTTAACGTATCTTCTCCGATTGTAAAAGTAATGAAAATGTGACAAAAAATAAACCAGAAAAAGCATTCTCATGTGCTAGTGATGGGCTTTTGGGTGGTTTCAAACTGTTTTTGCTTGGGTACTTTTTGTTTAATGAGCACTTTTTCCTAAAAGAAGTTATTTTTATATTATAGATGCGATAAAATTAAGTGACTGTTTTCCGGGCATGCAGGCTGCAGCATAAATATCGTACAGGGTTATTCTGCTTCCTTGCTGCAGTCAGTCTGTTCACCAGCTCTTCTGAGAGAAGGAAAAACTGTAACGATGAGGTAGAATAACACATGTCTCTTGCTGTTACTGACAATTACTTGGCAGAGGCTACAACTAGAGAGCGCAAGAGGTGAAGTGGGGGAAGTACCAATGAGCCACAAGCCACACTGCCCAGAATCGGCTGACAGTCCACCCCCTGACCTCCTGGACTGAGGAGAGGAATGCGCTTCCCATGACAAGTCTGAGTGCTGGACACTCAATCTCTGTGCTTTTGAGTTCAATGGCTCTCCCTGTCCCCCTTCATTACCAACTCAGTTATCAAAAGCTGACATAACCTCCCTTCTTTCGGGGTTTCACTTGCCTCTGGCAGAGTGGGTGGCACCCCTGCAAATTCAAAAGCTAGAGTGTTTGTGAGTGATTCTACACGAAGTAACTTGTGTTGCTGTGTGTAGGCAAGCATGAAAAAATTAGTGTAGTGGTCCTTCTGGGCAGTTACAACTTTTTTACTGAAAGATAATATTTATACATATTTATGGGATACATGTGATATTTTGATGCATGCATGCATGCAATGTGTAATGATCAAATCAGGATATTTAAAATAACCATCGCTGCAAACATTTTTCATTTCTTTGTGCTAGTAACATTTCAAATCTCTTCTAGGTATTCTGAAATATTCATTATTGCCAGCTAGAGTCACCCTACTGTGCTACCAAACAGCCGTTCTTACCTCTTCTAATCGCATATTGTACCCATTAACCAGCCTGTCTTCAACCCTCCCCTCTACCCTCACATTCTTCCCCGCCTCTGGTATCTATCATTCTATTCTCTATCTCTGTGAGATCAACTTTTTTGGCTTCCACATATGAGTAAGAACATGTGATATTTGTCTTTCTATGCCTGGCTTATTTCACTTAACATAATGGCCGCCAGTTCTGTCCACATTGCTACAAATGGCAGGATTTCATTCTTAATGTTAAGGCTGAAAAATATTCCACTTATGTACCACATTCTCTATATCCATTCCTCTGTTGATGGGCACTTAGGTCAACTCTGTATCTTGGCTATGGCCAACAATGCTGCAATAAACATGGAAATTCAGGTGTTCCTTTAACATGCTGATTTTCTTTCCTTTAGACAAATACCCAGTACTAGGATTAGATCATACGGTAGTTCTATTTTTAGGTTTTTTGAGAAACCTCCACACTGTTTTCCATAACGGTTGTCCTGATTTAAATTCCCACCAACAGTGAGTGTATGGGAGTGCCTTCGGGTAATTTTTAAAAGGACTGAAAGTGGGTTTAAATCTTGGAAAGATAAATGTACTACAGCAACCAAAATTGTCAAGTATTTATAAATAGGAAATTATATTTATGCCAATTTTTGGAATCCCTTTAATCATATTCTGGTTTCTGAAATGGCCTCTAACTTGAGTGAGAGATTCAGACATATGAAGTATGATGAAAAGAAAATGTTCCATGAACCAAAGAGAAAGAAAATACATGCTGTTGGAGGCTGTGCTAGTGTCTTCCTCAACACTTATTTCTCCTCCTCTTCAGGAGTCAGATGCTGATTTTCAGCTGGTCATATTGCTGCTCAGCTAAAATATCCCAGTTCCCAACCTTCCGTGCTGGTGGAGCTGGATATTGCCATGTGACAAAGTTCTGGCCAATGCAGTGTAAGCAGAAACACTGTGTGAGAGGTATGGGAAAACCTTTTTGAGAGGCCACATCCTTTTTCCTGTCATCCATCCTTGCTGCTTGGTATCTTATGTGATGGATGGAGCTCTAGTAGCCATCTTGTGCCATAAAGCTGAGATTCTAGGGGGCAGAAAGGTGCCTGAGTCCCTAGCAACTTTGCGGAGCCACCCCACCAGATTTGGACTGCCTAACCCCAGACTTCGGTTATGTAACTACTAGAAATAAACCTCTGTTGTATAAAGCGCTGTATGTTGAGAGTTTCTGGCAAATGAAGCTGATCTAACGCTAATTCACAGAATCAGATAAACCTGGGTTCAAATCTTATCTATACCATTTGTTAGTGGACTATCTTTGCACAATTTAATCTCTTTCGTTGTAAGGCTGTGTCAAGACAAATGAGATGGCATTCAGAAAGTGACTACCATGGTGGCTAGAATCACATAAGCACTCAACAGATGGGTTTGTTTCAAGTCAATAACCTTCTCAGGCAGACCAATCCCCATCAGAGGTGCTAGGGACACCCTGAGGAGTAAAACAGTCCTGTCCTGGAGAAGTATATCACCTGGTGGATAGCACAGGACTAAGAAGACAATATATGCTTTGCCTGATTCTGCTGAAATCCTAAGGCTTAAGGAGCAGACAGCCCGGGCTCTTAATTCTCAGTGAAATTTTAACATGAGCCCTCAACGAGGTTAGATAGGACCCTGACACTCCCTATACAAATCTGGGTCTAGCGCATGAAGGATATAGATCCATACATTCCTCACATTTCTGGAGATAAAAAGCCCTAATTCCCTAGGCTGTTTTGAGCCCTGCTTTACATTCATTTTACAGTGTGTATCCAAACGAAACTAAACCACCTGGACATTTGGCTGCAAGCTAACTGTCAAAATGGTTATTTTTGGATAAAACATAACTTGAGTAAAAAAATTTCACTGTTCAACTGACTGTAAGGACAGGGCCTCTCAGCCTCTGAGAGGAAAGGTGTCCAGACCCCAGGGCCCAGGTGAGAAGTGAGCAGTGCCCTCATGACACTCTCTCCCAGGGGTTCCTTCTGTGCTAAGTGGATAGACGTCTATTTCATTACATATCTGCTGTGCGACAAAAGGCTTCACACTTCATAAGGTGCCCTTGAACTCTGCAGTCCAATGACTCTGCTGAGAGCCCCTACAGGAGCGTCACTGTATATTTCTGGTTATTAGGTGCTTCTGCATTTTGCTACCACTGGCAATAAACACAGCAGACAGGCTTGCACCATCCAGTGCACACGGCACTCTCCAGGCATCAGCTCCTCTGACCTTCATCCCGCCACGACTTTGTGGCCTAAGGGGAAGCTGTGATTCCCAATTTGTCGAGGGACAACTATTTTTCCCATAAAGTACAGTTGGCAAAAGGAATGCAGGATTTGAATAAAATGGTGGAGAGCCTAGATTCATCTTTCTGGGACTTCAGTCTGCACTTTGAACAGCACTGTCTTCAAAGGGCCCAAAGGCTTCTGCAGCCACAGCTGAGGCAGAGGAATGAGTTCATCCCCACAGTCCCTATCCAGATACAGGCACCTCGTGCTGCTGAGGCACTTTATGGTGCTGAGGGCTGGCCCAGTCTTCCCTGCTTTGTTGGGAAGTGAGTTCATCTGGGGTAAACTGTACTTGCTCTTTCTTTAACTTGGTCTGGCTACTTGAGGTGCTCATTAACACTCCCCGCCAGCATGCCTCTATCTCCTCCTCACTGAGTCATGACAGGAGTTACAGGGTCCCCTGCTTAACGGAGGGACATCTGCTCCAAGACCCACAGTGGACGCCTGAAACCTCAGTTAATATTGAACTCTATATGCACTATGTTTTTTCCTATACATACAAAGCTATGATAAAGTTTAATTCATAAACTGGTCACAGTAAGAGATTCATAATTAATAGACCAATTATTAACAACATGCCAGCATTGCTACTCTTGTGCTTCGGGCCATTATGATGTAAAATAAGAATGACTTGAACACAAGCACTGTGATTCCATGGCACTTGATGTGATAACCCAGCTGGCTAATGGGTGGGGAGCACAGTCAGTGCGGATAAGCTGGACAAAGGAAAGAGCCCTTCCCCAGGTCGGACAAAGCAGTCCAGCACGTGAGTGCGTCAGGCCACTCACAACGGCACACAATTTTAAAACTGCCAGTTGTTTATTTTTGGTATTTTCCACTTAATATTTTCAGACTGCAGTTAATTGCACGTGACTGACACCATGGGTAAGGGGGCACTACTGTACTATTCTGTCTTTCTAGCTGAGCCACTTGCTTTCCGGATTCAAAGAATGCATAATTTTTGCTTATGTTTTAGTGATGACAATGGGTAGTGCCAACTTCTCTCATCCAGTGACCTCTTCCTTAAAGGGGGAGAAATGAGAACAACTCAATGTCACTGAACACCTGTTTCTGGCAGGTCCCCCACTGCATGCTTCACACACTTTACCTGTTCCGTCAGCTGCAGAGGAAAGGCAGAGTCAAATTCCAATGCCAAAGTCTGGGAATATGCTCAAGAATTCCAGGCCACTGGGCAGTTGATTACGAAAGTAATAATTCTAATAGTTACGGTTTGCTGAGTGCTTACGGGTATCAGGGGCTTTGGCTAGGCACATTACATGCCATATCTTATTTAACCATCACCACAATGCTGTGAGATAGATATTATTACCTCCTTCTGGCAAACAAGGAAATCAAGGCACAGAGGAGGGGTAGGGAATAGCCCAACTGAAGAAACTCATAAATATTAGGTTGGTGCAAAGGTAATTGCAATGGCAAAAACCACAATTACTTTTATGCCAACCTAATAGTACCAGAGATAATGACACACAGGCACTCTATGCTCAAATCTCCACCATGTGCATCGCTGGCACCTCCAACTGAATATGCCACAGTTCTCCCTTGCCCGAGGGATGCGTAAACAGATGTATATCCATGTATGTATGTGGAGGGGGTGGATGTGGGGTGGAGGTGAGGTGTGTGCACTGGCAGGGCTAGGGACAGGGAGAAGCAGAGTCAGGGTTTTCATGATGGCAGCACCCATGTGATTTTGGGTGGGAGTAGGGAGGGTGGCAGGGAAGTCCTCCAATGCTGTGATGAAGCTTGGGGCTCAGCATGGTATGAATTTGGGTGACTCTCTTTGTCCTTTCTGTGCTTTTTCATACTTTGTAGAAGGGTTTGTATCAGATTATCCCTAAGATTCTTCTAGTTTTTTGCCCTTTTTTTTTTTTTTTTTTTTTTTTTAAACAGAGTCTTTCTCTGTCGCCAGGCACCAGGCTGGAGTGAAGCGGCGTGATCTCGGCTCACTGCAACCTCCGCCTCCCAGGTTCAAGCAATTCTCCTGCCTCAGCCTCCAAAGTAGCTGGGACTACAGATGCATGCCACCACGCCCAGCTAATTTTTATATTTTAGTAGAGACGGGATTTCACTATATTGGCCAGGATGGTCTCGATCTCTTGATCTCGTGATCCACCCGCCTCGGCCTCCCAAAGTGCTGAGATTACAGGCATGAGCCACCGCGCCCAGCGAGATTCTTCTAGTTTTAAACCTGTAATCGTGCATGCCTGGCATGCTCACCTGTCCAGGCACCTGAGTTCTGCACTGTGGGCTTTGCATACTTTATTTGTCCACTGGTCCCAGAAAGAATCTGTTGAAGCTTAAACATTTAAGGAAGCTTCACTCTATACAGAACTGTTCAGCCAAGATCTTTTCCCTAAAAATGGAATGAGTTCTCAGAATCACACATCATTTTACCACTGGCAAGGGAATTTGAGAAAATCTAGTCCAATTCCTTCATTGTAGAGAAATGAAACAGACTCAGAAGTTCAAGGTTCATCAAATTCAGATTTCCTGGTTCCCTGTCCAGAGGCCACCTCTCTCCCAGTGACCATCCAAGAGCTCGTGGGTAGTGAATAAAATGCATGTGTCCCAGCTATCCTTAGAGACAGCAAGAAACATCTGGACATGAACAAACAGCCTCATTCAGCTTCCCCTCCAAGACTTCACACCCAGGTATTCTAATTCGGATGCATAAAGAACAAAATGTCTGGCAAAAGGGTAGCGTTCCCTGCTAGATGGACACCACCAGGTCTGTTCAGCCACTTCTAGGACTGAAACTTTCCTCTTTACTGCTAGAATTCCAGCTAGGGACACCTGCTATGTAGTATTTCAAGAAAAGCTACTCATAGTCTTGAAACTTAAAACTCATGACATTTAATCTACAAGATGTCTCACTGCATGTAAATCACTTTTGTGTGCCCTAGATCAACTCGGAAAGCAGCAACTTTTCATCTTTCACTTTACCTGATCATGTCATTGAGAGGTCAGGGCCCCTGAATTATTTCTTAAAACCTCTTGAAATTCAGTTGCTCAAAACAGAATTTGAAGGCTCCTTCAACATGGCAGCACATGTAAGAAAAATTAACCCTAGATGATAGGGTTATGTAAGAAAAATTAACCCTAGCTAGTGAAGGATAGCTGATATAGGGAACAGTGCGGATCACAAAGCAGGACCAGGCACTCACTGTGAAAGCTGTCAAACTGGTCCCCAGGACCCACTTAAAGCCACACCTCCCCTTCTTCAAATAAATGGTTAGGAAATGGCTCCCAAGGCGGAGAGGTTTCTGAGACTGACAATCAGCTTTGAAGATGACCCTCAATCCCATCCCATCTGTAAACATATGCTCCTCTGAAAATAAGTCCCCTCATAATTTTTACTGGCAATAATATTAGCTAACACAACTGCTTGCTATGTGCTAGACTGCTATACTCAGCTTTTTGAGATGGGTATTGCCATTATCTCCAATTTAAAGAGGTAGGAACTGAGACTCAGAGGTTAAGTAACTTGTGAAGCTAGTAAGAAACAGACCTAGAATGAAAGCCCAGGACTGTCTAACCCCATGGTCTTGTTCATAACTACCATGTATCATGCGTTGCAACAGAATATCATAGCACTTCTGAGATCCCTGCAAACACCCATGAAACTGTTGAGAAGAAAAGGTCTCAGAGGGTTATTCTGATAAGAGGGGAAAGCAAATTAGCACAATTAGTATGAAGAAGAGAGAGGTATTCATTCTTTAAAATATTAAACATTTTGAGAAACAGAAGCCCATTCAGATGGTATCAGAGCCAGGAAGGAATCAGTGAAAAATTAATCTCCAGCTATTTCCACATTCTATGTGGGAAAATTAAAGAGGACAATATTGCAGTATAGGTAAAAAAGCCCTCACAAACACCTAATTTTGCTGCTTAAAGAGTACAGAGAAGGAAAGTTTACTTCGACTGCTGTGATCTTTAAACATTAATCTAAACAGAAGAATATTTTATACACCTCATAAAAATTTCCTATACAAATGTTATAAGACAACAGTAGTTATTAAAAATAAGTTGGTATTTCCCACTAAAAACAAATCTTAACTTGTAGTATTTATTTTCAAGGGAAACCAAAATTACGTGGCTATACAAGCATTTTTGGAAAGAAACAGACAAAATAAAGACACTGCAATAAGCTGCCTGCACCAACTTAAATTTCAAGGTGGGTTGCATCCTAATAACACATCATGAAGGAGATGAAGATGTAACAATTAAATCCAGCTAATCAGAGGACATGAATATTTCAGTGCCTGCTAAATACTGATGTGATCCCCCAGGCGGAAACTCCCACAGAGAATTATATGAACATGAGTAAAAGAGTTCTCTGACAAGGTCTACATTGTTCATAAATTTTCATATTGATCCAATTTAGCAGGTATTGAATTCCCCATTCTAGAGAAACCAAGTACCTTTAATGGTGAAACAGTCAATACACTCCACAGATCAGCAAAGGCCCAAGTATTTTTACAGCAATGGCTGAAGTGCTTTGAAGAGACCCTAGATTTTAATGGATTAAGGACAATACTTTTTCCTTGGGAAAGCAAATGAAGGTTTAGATTTACGTTTGTGTGTGCGTGTGTGTGTGTGTCTGTGTCTACACACACCCATATACACGTATACATACAATTACCAACATATACACATATGGAGTTTATATAAAACTCAAGGCACATGCTTCTAGACTTTTAATTAAAGCACAAGAGTCAGCCAAGATGTCAGCTATTTAGATATTCAATACAATCATTTTAAAATGCATTCCCATCTTTTTAAAGATACTTTAATATGCATTATTCCATTGAAAGAAAATCAGTTTTAAAATGCTTGATGCCACGGCATGCTCCGTTTCAGGGAAGGCCCAGGCAGGCCCTGACGTGTCTTGCCTCACCACAGGGCTGCTGACGGATGGGCCATTTACCGCTTGCTGGTACATCTAATCCAAAGCACCAGAAGAGGAGAGAGAAGACACATTTCAAATCTGCTTCGTGTTCCCTCTCTGATGTGCCCCGCTGACTTCTTCAGAGAACAGTGTGTTTAGATAGAAAGAAGGAAAGGCTTTTAGGTCTGAATCTTCTCTCCTTTCCAAATCACTCTAACCCAGCCAACAGTAGTCCTAACCCAGATTAATTTGCTCCCAGAAAAGGAAGAAAATAGGAGACTTGACAGAAAGAAAACAACAGGGAAAAACAGTTTAGTGGTTAAGAACCTAGGCTTTGTCACAAAGCAAAAACAAAATACCCTAGACTTGAGTATTAGTTCAGCCTTGGGTAACTCGTTTAACTTTTCTAAGCCTCAGTCTACTCATCTTTAAAATGGAAACAATGCCCACTCATTCTGAGTTGAGAAGATTAGATGAAATACTGCAGGCAAATCACTTAACCACAACATCAGCTGGCAGAGTGTGAGCCACCGTGGTAAGTACAATCTTTTTCTTCAGTCTAATGCTCTCCCAACTGAGCTATTTCGGCAAAGACAATAAGTGCAATCTTTTTTTTTTTTTTTCCCCCCCTGAGGCAGGGTCTTACTCTGTCACCCAGGCTAGAATGCAGCAGCAAGAACACAACTCACTGCAGCCTTGACCTCCCAGGCTCAGGTCATCTTCCTACCTCCACCTCTCGAGTAGCTGGGATCACACTCCTGCAACACCACACCCAACTAATTTTGTTTTTGTCGTAGACATGGGAACAAAACACCATGTTGCCCAGGCTGCTCTGGAACTCCTGGGCTCAAGCAACTCTCCCACCTCAGTCTCCCAAAGTGCTGGCCATTACAAGCTACAACCAGGGTGCCCTGATCCACTGCCAACTTACTGACCAAAATCATCATATGCCACCCCATCTGCCTGCTGAAAGTGTCAAAATAAAATTGGGCTTTGAAAACAGTGGTACATTACTATCCTATCTCATTTTCACAAGTCCTGATTAAGCAATCAGAACAATTCATCACATTGGAGCCTAGATCATATTAATCACAGTAATCTAGACTCTGCCTTTCAACATGTGTAATTGAATCAGCTGCTCCCTGCACCCAGGCTGGGCCAGCAGGTAAGCAGGCAAACACATTCATCCTAAACAGCCTGGAAACTGGAGTAGCCTCAGGCCCACTCTGCACCCTCCACCTCCTGGGTCCTCCTATCATTCAGAGAAGAGACAGTAGAGAACCAAGTGGGACATACATAGTGACCCCAAAATAAATTTCCATAAAAATGCATCTCAATAGTATGTAAGAGAGGACCAAATAAGTTATTTTAAGCAAGGACATACTCAAAGATAATCTATTCATGATAGAAAACGATTAAAAAAATAAGTTTTTGAATAAATTGTGTCACAGGCATAGAATACACTAAGTTGTCAGCAAAATAGAGAAACATATAATTAATTTTGCAATCATTATTTCCCACATGTATGACTCATTTCCTGAATTCTTTCCCACTGGTTTCCAATTGCCCCCCACAGACCATTCATTCTCCCCCATCCACTCTGGATCTCTTTCCTCCTCTTTTTCATAACCCTTACTATGACCTGACATCATATCATAACATTTTTTTCACGAACTCACTGCCCCCATAAAATTATGAGTTCCAACAAGGCAGGGATGTCAAGAGGCTGGGGAAATAGCTCATGAACACGATGAACTGTGGCTGGCACATGGTAGAATTTTATACAGTATTTGTTGAAGGGGTAAAGTTAGCAAATTAGATAAAACAGATAAAGGAACATTATCCTTACTCTTTCCACCACCACTATGAGATGGTATCACCTGCAAACATCTGTCGGACATTTCTGAATGTGTAGCTACACTTAAAATAGTTTAAGCAAAACAATTTTTAATATAGTACTATTTTTGGCCACAATATCTAACTAGAAAGAAGTCCAGAAATATGTGTACCAAAATATGAATGGCATCCCCAGATTATCTCTGTGTAGTGTGATTACAGATGATTTTCTTAGGTTTATTGTATTTTTTCTGTAATAAACATACATTAGAATTATATAATTTTTAAGTGTTTTCTTGGGCCGATTTCCAAAGTCTTATGAAGAATATAAATAATTAGGTAGTCCTTGCTCTCAACAAGCTCCCAGTGTATTCAGAGAGATAAACCAAGAATTTTTCAAATATAGGAGTTGGAAAGATAATTAACTCTCCTCTTACCCAACAGTCCAGCCAGTGCCAGAATCCTATCTACAGTGTTACCTGCAGGTGGTCACTATGTCTATGTAATAAAAAGCTGGACTGCTTCTCAGACAGCCAAGCCTGTTCACTGTTGGATAGCTACCGGCATTTGCAAATTTTACCTTACATAGCCACTCTGAAATTGCCTCTTTGTAACTTGTCCCATTGGTCTATTTCCATAAGTAGGATAAAATTAACTCACTTCTATACTCCAAGCTCTCCAAATAACTCACTCTATCAATACCATCCTTTCTAAATCATCAAACCTCCAGGATAATCCTTGATCACCCAGGGGCCCCTAGCATGTCAATTTTCCTTTTGGTAAATGGTAGCCAGGACCAAGCACACACTCCAGATGAATTCTGCCTAGCACATTTCTTACGTGCCAATCACTTTACAAGAGTTTTCATAAAATTCTCACAGTAAACCAAGATAGGTGCTACAATAACCTCACTTCACAGATAAGGAAACTGAGGCACAGTCAGTTTTCTAGTACTTGAAACCACAAACTTCCATGACCTGTCACATTTATGATGGGTATCCAGGGTCACACATTTTGAGATCACATATCTGGTGTGGGCTAAGGGAGAGAGCCTGAGGAGTCAAGACTGCAGACTTGGATGGTGCTCAGCACCAGATGGTTTCTAGCAGTGCTGCTCAAATTGGAAAGGCCACTGGTATGAGAGGGAGTTTCAGTGGGATCCCCACGCTTGCTGTGACAGTGCCTGGCACCAGAGGGAAGAAGCTCCCCTGTACAGGTAAAGGGCAGCCTGAACTCTGTAGTCAAAAAAGGTACTATTCTACCCCAAAAGACCTTGTTCCTGCAAGTAAGCCATGCATCTACGTAAGCTGGTGCACCTCTTGTGCCCCACCCCATCTGCCAGCACTAGCCTGGCCAGGGCCTATGAGTGTTTTGCAATCCCTTGCCAAATCAAGGATGTCAGAATTGCATATAAAAGCTCCAACACAATGCAAGTCAACCACAGACCAGAATGAAACCCGGTGGTTTGAGTCTAACTTGACAGCATTCCAGCTCTTTTCTTGTAAGGAGCTGCTTCTCCCTCAAAAGCAGCCTGTCCTCTCACTTTGTCTCTAGAAACCACAGCATACTAGTAAATCAGATAGGTATGTAACAGCTCAGCACTATCTTAATATAAAAAGCCTCCCTTTTTCTCTCCCTACCTACAAGAAACACCAACATTTATCATATATTATCTTGCCAGTTCTCTCCCTTACAAACTGACTTATTCCTTTTTTGCCCCCTTAATTTCATGAGCAAATTCTGAGATTAATAAAGTATGTCAGGGGTAGTGGCATAACTGATTGCAGATGGGATAGCTAGAACAATGCAAGGTCTCCTACAAATAGGCACTCTCCTCCACCCTTCTGCCATTACTGGGACTCTGTGACATCCTCAAAGAGAAAGCAGCAGGAAGAATAAAGAGGAGGGCACAGGGATGGGTTGATAAAAGAAAAGTTCCTTTGGGGATTTACGTTTATTGGTTGTTTCTGACTTTCTCTACATGGTAGGCGCCCCCAACCCAATGGCATAGTCTTCCAACCTGTAACCGCCCAATAAGTCCATATTACGTCCAGACCTAATGGTAATAGAAACAGCTTGGTTGCTGAGGGAGGTAGGGAGCTTTTGGGTAATCACAAAGAGCACACAGCATCCTAGAAGTAAGGCTTCTTTCATCACATCATCACATTTTTGGGAAGGACATTGCTTTCTGCCCCCATCACATACATACATTCATTTGCAAACTAAATTTCTCTTGTGCTTATTAAGGGAGGTGGGGTAGTGGGGGTGGTGGGAGTGAGGGCTGCATATTTTCCAAAGCTCATGAAGCCCAGCCTAATCATTACTTCAAACATGCCACAGCAAAAGAAGTGACATCTAATCCTTGTTTTTCTTGTCATGTCTACCATTCCCCCACCTCCTTGTAGGCACAGCACTAGAAGGCAAACAAAAATTCCCTAAAGCTGCCTTATTTTGTTTCCTGAAAGCAGAAGGCAGTGAGCAAAGAAACTATGAAAGACACCTAGGCTGTTTAGGAATGACACATTTCCAACCTAGATAAAAATATCAAAGGAAAGTCTAAGTCTGTCAGTGACTAGAAATGCTGTCACTTTAACAATACAAAAAACTAAAATTTACCCAAACTCTTAAAGCTAAGCCTCACTGCTAAACAAGTTTACACTGACCATCATTAGGCACGGGACCAAGTTCAGCAGTGGAAAAAAATGTTGAGCAAGCTTTTGCCTGTTATTCAGAGAGCGTTTCCTCAGAACCCCACATGAGCTGCCCTGTGAGGTCAAAATTCTGAAATGTTCATCACGGAACAGCATGGGTAAAACACAGTTTAAATGCAAACATCACTCTGAGATGGCTAAGCAGGACTGTAAGATCCAAACATGTAACAAGTAACATTCCCATTACCCACAACACAGGGCATCATTTATTTAAAAAAAAAAGTAAAAGAAACAAAGCTCACTTTTGGGCTCTCAGAAAAATATCACAGATTTGAAATGGGATGATTTAGCTCAGAGTTGAGGAGGATGAAGGCAAATTAGAGTGGCTGCCAAGCATATGATGAACTCTTAGACGGCAGGGACTCACCAGGGTATGCAGCAAGAGATAATGGGTTTACATTTCAGCATGAGGGATTCAAGCTTGCTCTAAATGTCTTTCCTGACAGTGAAGCTTGTTATGTCTTACAAGGTACAGTGATGGTTGTGGAATTACTCTCCCGGAAAACCTTTCCAGACAGGGGCGAGTCTCATCTCTCCGGGATAATGTGGGTGCAGCCCTGCCTTGGAGTTTGGTCAGCAGCCTCTCAAGATTCATTCCAGCCTGATGATTCTCTCATTTTACACCAATAGATGCACTGGGGCAAAAAAGGTGAGTCAACACACAGACAACAATTACGGAGGGCATTTCTTTTCATGTGGCAAAGAAAAACAGTGGTTATTCCAAAGGAAGAACAGGAACCTCAAAGCTAGCTTTTTATTGTGTTTTCTTAAATCCTGACAATTATGACTCATAACAGAGCAACATTTACAGAAGTATGAAGTTTGCACACGTCAGTCCCTGATGTGCTTTGGGCTGAGGGCTATGGCATTTACACACCTGCCGGACTGAGGGCTACCCAGAAAAATGACTTAAATAGAACTGGATATTTATTTAAAGTGACTGATACATAAAGAAAGAACTTCCTCATCCCCAAAAATAACAAGTTAGAATGAAAAGTAGAAAGAGAATCATCACTTTAAATTTTAACTTCAACAGATTTAAACTCTAGATTCTTTAAACAATCTTTTTCTGAGGCAGAGAATCATGACCTACAACAACCACCTTTCCCTTTCAATAACCATTTTTTTTTTTTTTTTTTTTTTGAGACAGGGTCTTGCTCTGTTGCCCAAGCTGGAGTGCATAGTGCAATCTCGGCTCACTGCAACCTCTGCCTCCTGGGTTCAAGCGTTTCTCCTGGCTCAGCCTCCTGAGTAGCCGGGACTACAGGCGTACACTACCATGCCCGGCCAATTTATTGTATTTTTAGTAGAGATGAGGTTTCACTGTGTTAGCCAGGATGGTCTCTATTTCCTGACCTCGTGATCGCCCATCTCAGCCTCCCAAAGTGCTGGGACGACAGGCATGAGTCATGGCACCCAGCCGATTTTAAACATTAACATCGAACCTACCTCATTTCAGACATCACAGTTTTGGGAGACAACAGTTTTATGTTCATGAAGAAAAAGTATAAACATAGCAGATCATTTCCTAAGGAAACACACAGCCTTTGAGTATCCTTAGGAAGCAAAAAAGTTATGCGGAATTTTCACATATATGTAATGCAATATTAAACCAAGGGCAGGCCACAACAAGCCTAATTGGAGCTTTATAGATACCGTACATGCTTGCAGAAACATGGCAACTAGAGAGCCATAAAGAATTCTTAACTTACATGTGGAATATTAAAATACTGATGAATATGTGCCCTTTTCCAGATAAATGCCAGATGTTAAGAGTACCTTCATATCCATTCAGACTAGTGCTTTACATGATTCAGTTCTCTGAAACCTTCTGAAAAAATATACTTGCACTTCTTTCCCTCATTGTATTTATAGAGAAGGATTGTCACATACTTTTTATTAAAAATTTGATTAAGATTAGCTGTGCTGCATAAGGCAAATGATTTCCATAGAAATACATTATTAGAGTATACAGGATGATAAATCTATGCTATGAAACAATAATACAAAGCAGACTCTTTCTACAGTGAGTTCAAATTCCAGAACAGACCACAGGCACGAAACCTTTGTGGTTTACAGAATTCTGAATCTCGAAGTTTGAATAGTGGGTGCAGGCCACAGTAACTGTGCTTTTTTGCTATGTGTGCGTTTTTAAATTAAGCCCTCCTAATGGGTAGGGTTGGGGGAAAAAAAGGGGGACAGATCTGAGGTGGGCAGCAGATAATGGGGCAGGGGTAACAGACCTGTCCACAAGGTGAATTGTATTCTACCTCTAAAGTCTATAAAGCAAAGACCCTGTAAATTCAGGCTTGGCCAATAGCAAGCAATAGCTTAGGCAGGCATCGGCCCCCCTGATATCCACCAATTCTCTTGCAGGCATCCAACAGACATAATCAGTGGATGTAAAGATTGTGCTGACTAAGCAAACAGCTTTAAAAGAAGCCCTCTGTGCCTCTCCTTCCCCAATTCCTAACCCTGGACCAGCCTAAATGCCTTTCTTAAAGAAATCTTGAAAATTCCACCAACCCAGACTCCCTGTGCTCTCTGTCCTATGAAGAAAGAAGAAACGCCGATTTGCATTGCTCTTGCTGCTTATGGGTAAGATGGGAGGAGGAAAAGGGGAAAAGAATCCAAAGAGCAGGGGGAAGATGATATAGAATCGATAGGCTATATACATGGAGACAGTCATTAACTCTAAAGGAAACCAAGAAACCCAGAAGGAGAAAGGAAAATAAAGATAACAGGTAAATTAGCATTATAGATTTTTTTAAAAACTCTTTTTGAAAGACTTCCCTCTGCAGGACCCTTCCTGCACCCAAATGTGTCAAAGCCGTAATCTTGAAGTCTCCTGTAATGCCACCCCACAGCCTATGACCAGCATGGACCAGCAAGACCAAGCACACCAAGGAATGCTGATGTTTAGATAATTGGGTGGAGATGAGGTATGGACTGAGAAACAAGTAGAGGTTGTTCTTTAAAAAGTGTTTTCTCATTAAGACCCAGTCAAACTGCTCAGGTGCAGTGCCAAGGGGGTTAATGTACAAATTCAGAAGCTCTATGAAGGTTACATTCTGGCCATGGGGAGACACAAGGGTAGGTTTCTTAAAATGCATTGACTTGACCTCTTCCCCATGAGCAGTCACCTTTTGAACTGCTTGGGATGACCTGGGAGAAAAATAGAAAGGTCTGCAACCAGGAACTCTGTGTGAATGTTTGTAGAGAACAATCAGAGGGCTGTCTAGAAAACAAACTGCCTCATTTCTTCAACAGTAGCTATTCAGGCAGCAAGAGGCAATTTAAAGACTGGCCAGCGAAGTTAAAGTGCACTGCTTGGGAGATGGGCATAAATGATAACATTTCTATTCTACTCCAGCTTTTATGCATTGCTCAACTTCACAATGCTTAGATAAAGTGCTCTCTTCTGGGGATGTCAAGTACATGATACCTCAGCTACAGGTACTATGATAGAATTACATGGATATATCCCACATATCTAAACTCCAATGCAGAATTCTCAGGGATTTTTAGTAAGATGCACAAATGAGTATTTTTAGGCACAAAGTTATTGGCAAGTCTGGTCTTCACAGAAAGAAGTAATTGATGTAGTGTCTTAATCTAAAATTTTTTTCTTCTTTATAGCATCTACTTCTTTTAAACAAGGACAGATGGAGCCATAGAGTGTTAACTGGTCCCTTTACTCCTTTCACTTGTTTGTCCTTTTCTTCAAAGGACTTTACTTCTAATCCATGGCAGAATCATCCCTCCCTTACAGAACTGGGCAATATACCACATACCACATTCCTACCTTCTTAGGCAAGAAGAGACATTTCCAAAAATTTCTGATAAACCACAATTGCATGAATGCTGGGAAGCTTGGCTGCTTTTTGCTTCTGTGCTTGTCACTAAAGTACCACAGGTCCCAGCCTCTGCTATACACACCCACCCATGTCCCCATCTGCTTGGGGGAGGCTAATATTTACCCTACCCACTTCCTAGGGACACTGGGGGCTGTAGGCATTCCTATAAGTGTTATTTGTTAGCACTATAAAAGCATTATAAAAATGTTACAGTTCAAGGTGATATTTACTGACTTATATGTGACTCTCCTTACTGGTGTCCTTAAAATTCATCTCTAACATACTTTATTATGTTTGCCTCTGTTCATTAAATGTGACAAGAAGTTATAGACTCTTCGTGATGGGGTCAGTAGTTATAGTATAAGCAAGAAACCCATATGATTTGCTCCCGTCAGGGAGACCTTAGGAATACTTATCTCTAAGGACAAGACTTGAAATCTGAGAGTCAGATCCAAATATTGCCAGATGGCTGGCAATACCTTTAAGCTGAAGAGTGGGTGTTTGGCTCCCACACTGGGTGTTCTGCATCCTGAACTGAGACTCTGTGGAAGCACCAGGTATGTGCATCCCCAAAGCTTTGGCTTCAAATACGTTGGATGCTCTCCTGAACCATTTCTGTTTGTCCAAGGCATTTGACCATATCCTGGCAGTTCACTCAGGTATCTGCCCTCCGCACAAAACTTCTGATCACAACTGCCTACATCCACAAGGAAACTCGAGTCAAGTTTAGCAGAATGTTATTGCAGCACGGTACAAGATAATTTCCCGTCAGACAGGCAGCTGTTCTCTTGAACCTAAAGACTAAAGGAGAAAGCACACAAAATAGAGATGTTTTATCACTCAGGTGCCACTGAATTTGCATCTTTAACCCAAAACGTATTAAGCTTCAGTCTCACAATTAGCTAACGAGGGCAAAAATGCACAGAGACAAGCAGAAGGCGGAAACCTCTTATTTATTTTTTAGTTTTTGAGAAAGAGTGTTATTATGTTACCTAGGCTAAAGTACAGTGGCACCACTTGGCTCAATGCAACCTCTGCCTTCTGGGTTCAAGCGATTCTGGTGCCTCAGCCTCCCAAGTAGCTGGGACTACAGGCACGTGCTATTACACCTGGCTCATTTTTGTATTTTTAATAGACAGGATTTCACCATGTTGCCTAGGCTGGTCTTGAACTCCTGGCCTCAAGTGATCCACCTGTCTCAACCTCCTAAGTGCAGAAATTATGTCCATGAGCCACTGTGCCTGGCCACAAAAAGTGGATACCTCTTTAACCCAGAAAACCTAATTGGTGGCTCTGTGACCTGTATCATTTCACAGGTGGTTACTGGGCAGCCTCCAAGAACAGAAGCAGCTGTGGCAAGGTTATTCTCCAGAATCTGTGAGGTTTCTAGCTACAAAGAGCTTCAGTGATATCTGCTTGTCACACCAGCAAGTCCTGGAACTCATCAGTAACTGACTCTATTACATGAGCCCCTACATAAGGAAGGTTCTCCCTTGCCGCTCTCATGATCCATCTCCCATGGTTCTCAGCAAACCATCAGTGTAATGTTTTGACAGAAAATAAGTAAAATGGAAAGCTATCCAAATGTTGACTGACTTCGGGTACTATGGGAGCATTGGGGGAAAAAATAACTATTATTATTTTTTTTTAGAGCAGAAATAAACTAAATATTATTTAGGGGAAAGATTCTGTATGAGAACAGGTAGGACCTTTTTCTCTAACTCTAGGAGTGGAAGAGAAAATAAACACATAGCAATGGGCAGTTCATACCCAATAGACATAATTCAGCTCTCGCAATCCAGGCACCTGACTTAATATTGATCAAGTCTCACTGGATCACGTAAGACAGGATTCAGAGGCAACAGCAATGTTTCTGTCTGTCCGAGGGTCTCAGGCATCAAACTCTCACCGCTTTAAGGTTACTTAACAGCCTAGGCAAAATTTTGGAGCTTAGTATGGCTATTCAGCTGCTTCAGTGACTCATTTGCATACAGAACAAGCTTCATCTTCCCTTCTCACTATCCTTGGTCAGCCTCAAGTTGCCATTTCCTATAGCTTTATAGCTGAAAGCTCTACTCTGCCATGCATATCTCTTCTTCTAAGTAACCTCGTTTGACTAAAGAGGCTGTGGGGAGGTAAATGTAAAATGTTGTTCTCTCCTCATCTCTTATACACTTTGACATAATACAGAACAAACCAGGTGACAAGAAAGATTCCACCCATGTCCATCTGTCCATCTTAATACAATTACCTATGTCCTGTGTGTACCATAACTTAGCAAACAACCAATTATTGAATGTGTAACCGATTTTCCTTGTATATTGCTACGATGACGAACCTTAGGACAAATTCCTAGAAAGGGAATTATCTGGCCAAGGCTTCCAAATGTGAAATTGCCTTCTACCAAAATCTACTGCAATATATATTTCTCCCATCTGTATCGATTTCACTTTACTCTTAACTGTAGATATATCATTTATATATATATTTTCTGCCAATTTGATTCCGAAATACTAGTCTTTGTTTTCTTATTTGAGAATAAACTTTTTGTCATAAATGTACTGGACACATGAATTTGTTTAATTGCCTGTTTATGTTCTTTGCCTGTTTTGACAGGATGTTGATTTTTTTAGAGTTTGATGTATATAACAGATATTAACCTTTCACCAAATACATTGCAAATACTCTTTCCCAGTGAGCTGTTTGTCTTTTAATTTATAGAGCATTTTATGACATATGTATGTTTCATATTTTTACATTACTTCCATAAACCTTTTCCTTAACAGATTCTCTACCTTTTTTTTTTTTTTTTTTTTTTAGAAAGACCTCCAGCACTCCACTCAGATATGACAGCTACCTACATTTTCTTCAGTGTGGTTTTCTTCTGTGCAGTCATTTTTTAAAGCTTTTATTCATCTGAAATTCAATGGCATACATGAATTAAAAATCAACTTTGTTCTTTTCATGTAATAGTTGTCCTAGTACTACTGAATAATTATAGCTTCATCTTCTCTATGTTACTCTAAATGACAGTATTATAATGTTTAATGTTGCATAGTATATCTCTCCCCTTTGTTTTTTTAAAAATAATATTTTAGTTATTTGTTTGTTCTTTCAGATAAACATAAGGTCACTGTGAAGATTTTTTTTTGAAATCCCGTAAGGTTTTGGATCACAGCACCACTAAAGTTCTATTCTGCCCCAATCAATGTAATCATGTGCATGACTGAATTCCATCTAATAACATGAGCATTCCATTTATCAAATTGTATTTTTCTTTGCAGAGTCTCTCTTTAACCTAGACATAAATTCCCTGAGGACAAACTTTATTTCCATTTTGTTGCTCAGTATATTCTATTCCTAGTAGCTAGTAGAGTGTACTAGCAGTTACTGAATGAATGAAATCAAAGTGACCTAGAACATACGTCTCAAAATCTTATTTAACATTTCAAACCCAAAATAGCTAAAACAGCACCGTAACCCTGAATACACTTGATGTGTGTAACTCAGCAAAGTTCTAAGTACAGGGATTTACAGCCTCCCACACCATTCTGATAAATGCATAACCAACTCCAAAGACAGATACCTTTCTAAATTACTGCAACAGCAATGCAAAGGAGAAATGAGCATGGAGGGTAACACTGGGTAGATCAAGATGAACCAACATCTAAAGAACTGGAACTCATGCTTGAGAACGACAGAAACGTGTCTAAAGTAAGATATATCACTGCCACGGTGAAGTAAAAGAGTCAGAAAACTGCTTCAAAAAGTCCTAGACCCAATGTTAAGAGAGATTTAAAACACTGAGAGAGCAAAGGCCCCAGGTAGATGTGTGTAGACAGAGAAATATCCCAGGTAAAAAAAGACCTGAATTAATGTTCCTGACCTGTCTTCTTCCTGGTTCCTTGCTGAAGGGACTCAGCTAACAAAATCCAACCCACTGGTGGAGCCTGGATGGAGTCACGGTGAATCATACCTACATTGCTGGAACCAATCACCTGCACTGTTTGGCTCCTAGGAGCACCTCTTTTGATCTAATGATTTACTGGTTTTAAGATATATTTACAAAGATATTTATCATAGCATTGGAATGACAAAAACTAAACAAACACGCTAATGCCCCTCTACAGGGGAGTGAATAAATACACTGACATATCCATACTTTGCAGCTGTGAAAAAGAAGGGGCTATTGGATGAGACCTTGGAGAAAAAGCCCACAACATACAGTTAAAGAACTTTTTTTTTTTTTTTTTTTTTTGAGACAGAGTGTTTCTCTGTCACCCAGGCTGGAGTGCAATGGTGCAATCACAGCTCACTGCAGCTTCAACCTCTCAGGCTCAAGAGAACCTCCTGCCTCAACCTCCCAAGCATCTGGGACTACAGGTGTGAGTTATGTAGTTTTTGTAGAGATGAGTGTCTCCCTATGCTGTCCAGGCTGGTCTTGAACTCCTGGGCTCAGGTGATCCTCCTGCCTTGTCCTCCCAAAGTGCTGGGATTATAAGAGTGAGCCAATATGCCTGGCCGACAGATTTTTTATTTAATGGTAAGAAGAGAATGTACACAGTCTGATCTTATTTTTGTGAAAATGCTCATATTTATAAATATTTGTATATTTTATATGAGCTTAGATTGGTATTGAAGAATAAACACCAAATTGTTAATGCTGGTTAAGGAGGAAGACAGAAATTTAAGAGGAGAAGGGGTGGAGTTAGCTCTTCCGTGATATACTTCTGTGTTGTTTGACTTGTTCTATTGGCCATGTATAGCTTTTGTGCCTTGAAAGGAGAGGCTAATAAGTTATTATTCTTGAAAATAAATAGACATGTCAAATTCTGAAAACTGGATATTGACAATGCAAATGCAAAATTATCTCAGAATTCTCAAATGTAGAACAAAAAAAATAATGAACCCCATTAGAACATACTTGAGACGGTCAAACTTTGATGACTCAAAGCTGCAAAGAGGTACTACAATTAGTTTTCCTTTGATTTCAGGGACGTATTTATTTTGCTTTATCTTAAGACAGAACTAACAGACCAAATGCTTTTGAAAGGCCCTAGATGGTTCTCAACATTTGGGTATAGCCCAGGAAGACTAAGTTAATTTAGCTATTCACAGAGTGGCACATTTGACAAGGAAAATGCAAATTTAATCACTGTAGTTAGTGTTCAATTAGCCACTCAAATAGGAGGGGAAGTAGTGACAGATAAATAGATATGAAGCTACCGGTGCCACAATGTATTTAACTTTTGAAAGCCTTGTTCAACTTTCTCAGGAACCTATCTAGGAAACTGGATGAAATTTGTATTAGATTGCAAAAATTGTTTTGGTGTACTCCCAGGGGATTAATTAAAGAGCAACCACATAATAATCCTTGTAATGTACTCTAAAATACATTCAGTGTTAAGGAAGAGATACAGTTGTCCCCAACCATCCCAGGAGTACTTTTCATGAATATTTTTCAACATGTGGGTCATGATCCATGAATAAGCCCCGAGAAATTTATTGTGCTGTGATCAGCATCGGTCTAGATTAAAAAAAGAGCTTGCCTCAAATATTCCATTCTTTTCTGCATCCTACCCCGTGCATACTATACCCCAACCAGCAGGAAAAAAACACTTCCTCTCAAGCCCAGATAACCATATTCTGGGTTGATTTTCAAGGAGCTGATTTTGTCATTAAGAAAAATGTAAAGTATACATTCGAAAATTCAGGAGCTAATTCTATTTTCTCTACTTCCCAGCTAGGCATTTGTTATAATGGGTAAATGGCTTTGCCTTAGGATTTCTTGCTGAGAAATAGCTCCTAAGTGCCCATTTCTTGTACTGTATATTAAACCATGACATAAGCACAAGGGGGATCACAACAATAAGGTCATAATGCCGCAATCAGGCCAGGTCCCTAAGGACTGCATTAACAGCCCCGCACTAGCAGTGGATGTACAGAGAGGAGCTGTGTGCACCCTGAGTACAACAGATAGTAAACCCTCAATTGAAAAGTTATCTCTTTCAGCTATGCTGCCAACATGCAGACACCTGAAGATACAACTGTCAACAGAATTCTCAGAGGGAAAGACATCTACTATTGAAGTTCTAGCATGTCCTCAACACACAGAGCAAGACACTGATCTCAAAGTCCAACAGCTAAGGGTGACAACTCCCTTGCACTCCAGGCTTGTACAACCAGCTGCCGACCACACTCCTGCACCCAGAGGCTCATACTTTATGTGGCCCAAACTCACCTTGCCTTCTTTCCCTGCAGGCTAACTCACCCTGCGCATCCAGCTTGCTAGGGGATTGAACTGTGCCCAGTTCAATTATGTGGACAAATAGGCTAAGAACCAAGATCTACGACCGGTTTGCCTAAACCAGTGACTTGGGTATTTTTGTTGTTGTTGTTGAGACAGAGTCTTGCTCTGTCACCAGGCGCCAGGCTGGAGTGCAGTGATGCAATCTTGGTTCACTGCAACCTCCGCCTCCTGGGTTCAAGCAATTCTCCTGCCTCAGCCTCCCTAGTAGCTGGAACTACAGGTGTGCACCACCATGCCCAGCTATTTTTTGTATTTTTAGTACAGATGGGGTTTCACCATGTTGGCGAGGATGGTCTCAATCTCTTGACCTCGTGATCCACCTGCCTCGGCCTCCCAAAGTGCTGGGATTACAGGCATGAACCACTGCGCCTGGCCGTTGGGTATCCCTTTTGAATGCTTCCTCCACATCTCGCTTATCAATTTCTATTGATCTTGCCTCATAAATCATTCTGGAAACTGTCCACTCCTCCCCATGCCAGCATCGTCATTCTAGCTCAGGGTCCACTGCTTGTCTGGATTGCAACAGCGTTTTCACTGGTTCCCTACCTTCAGCTTTATCTCTAAACTGTTCTCCAAAGGAAGTGCAGACACTCTGAAGTGCAATTCTGAGGCTATCATTTCTCTTGCCATGAGAAATATAAACTAACAACAACAACCAACTTTTCAGTGGCTGCCCTTCACCCTCAGGTAGGGTCCACATTCCTTGATGCGGCCCAAGAACCCCGCTCCCACCCCCACGCCATCTTCAGGTGTCCTCTGGAAGGACTTCTTCGGTCCTGGTGGGCACCTCTCCTATTACCTTCCTGGTTCCCATCAAGCTTCTATCACGCTCCCTTGGTGGCCTTGTTTCTTTGGTCTCCTCTAGCAGTCTGTAAACTCCTTGAGGTCTAGGATTTTGTCTGACTGGTTTCCAACAGGCAGCACTGCGCCTGGCACAAAGGGGGCCCTGAATACATACATGTTAAAGACTAACACTGACCAGTTCCTCTGCCATGGGAACTACGATAAAAGCTAAACCAGGTGTGGGAGGTCATTGTGTGCTTTGCACAATTACACAATGTGGACTTCCAGCAATGGTTAGGAAACCATCCCATCAAATCTCTCAGGCACACAAGGATGGAAAATCTAGAGCTAGACAGTCCAATGACTTCAGCCACACAATCTGAAAACAAAAGGGAGCACTGAAATCAATGATGTAAGTTTCCTTATGATGACAATGTTAACATTATTTATCATAAATAAATACATTTTGCCACTAAAGCCATTTCACATAAACACATCATGCCAAAGAACAATCATTATAGCAATTAAATTTCTCCATGATCCTATTTTTTTAAATCTATGTTTGCATTTTTCTTTAAAAAGCTGTGATCCTAACATACATGCATGGCGAATTTTGTACCATTTTGTATTGGTTTTCCCAAGTGGGTACACAGTCTTCATATCTGTAGTTTCAATGCCTGAGTAAATGCCATCAAGTTAATGTATCATATCATACTTTCCTTAATCATATTTAGGGATTTTAAAAATCTTTACTAATTTAACATAATGCTGTAACAAACAGAAAATGATTTCCTTCTTTTCAAATTAGAAAAGAGTTATTTTTTGCTCCTTATTTTAGAAGACTATTTTGCTATGTGAAAGAACTTGCAAGAGCAGATAGTTGGAACACCGTCCACATGAACAATACCCCAAAACAGTGGCTAATATAAGAATGGACCAAAACAGGCTTGCAAATCAGAACACATCCAAGAAAGGAGGCTGTGAGTGGCAGTGGAGAAGACCTGAGAAGGGAAGAGAGGCGCCAAAATGGAATTTAGGATGCGCTCCTGAATGACACCTGGGGGAAGCATTTCCGGAGTCACTTTTGCCACTTAGACAGTTTTCTTTTTTAATCGTTTTTGGGCTCTGGGGTACATGTGCATGTCCTGCATCCTGCAGGACTGTCTCCCTCCCCACCACCCCTCCCTTGCCTATATCAGGCATTTCTCCTGGCGTTATCCCTCCGCAGCCTCCCTGCCCCCACTGTCTCCCCCTCTCCGCCCCTCCATCCCCACCACCTAGCCCTGTGAGTGTTGTTTCCTTCCCTGTGCCCAGCCCAGACAGTTAACAAAGACTCCACCCTGCAGCGGAACCTGTTATGGAAAAAGACAAGACAGTCACAAGTGGACCATCTCAGCGGCCCTGAGAATGCAGCAGCTTTCCTAGCAAGGTGGTTAGGGGTCAGATTTAGACATAAAGGGCAGATGCTATCAGGGGCAGCAAAGGATTCTGGTCTGTTTCCAGTAGTTGGGGAACTAGAAAATATGAGAAATAGCAAACAGGGCGGTGGGGGGGCAGGGGTTGCCAGGGTAGAAGATTTATTTATAAGGGATATGTTGGGAAGGGTTATCCAGAGAAATAATAGAATCCCAACCCACTTTGCCTATGACAAGTGGTCACTCAACCACACTCCCTCCTCACCCCCAAGTCTGGCCCTTGCAGAGACAGCTAAGCTTTTGCCAACAACCAGATTCCTTTCTATAATTAAATTTAATTCAGCACTAATGTAAATATTATTTCTCACACTA